AGTGGCCCTGAAAGAAAATAGTTTTTAGGTTAAAATGGTTTATAAATATACCAAAAAATCGATAGAAAAAAAAAAAAAAGTTTCTTAGTTTATCCAAAGAGCATTGCCAAACTAGATATTATAATTGGAACACGGAAATGCTATATACGCACTCACGTGTAACGCTTGCATTAGTCTGCTATCACACGCCTACGCGATATACAATTTTATCATGTACAGAGTGTTAATATTTAAAAAAAAAAGGGCCTATTTATACACCTAGTATATTTACGATCGATTTTTCATTTTTTTTACTATTTAATTTAAAAATGTTTTATTTAAAAACAAATATATAATATATTTGAATTAAATAAACGTATAATATTTGTCTTAGAGTAAACTTTTTCTATTTGGCGTTAATAAGAAATTTATTTTTCATAAATAATTTTCTTTTTTTTTAAATCAGATAAATATTTAAATATTGCAAGTAAATATTTATTTTGACAATAGTTAAATAACCGATTAGTTGAATGAAATAAATTTTTTTTTTCCATTGTAGCCAGTTATAATGAGGGGGTGTAAAAATTTTTAAAACTCACACGTGGTTTCTGTTGTTCCCACGCTGTAAACCGGTCTAAACTGTATATAGGTATACTTTCCTCATCAATTCTCTCCCCATTTTGCAATAACATTTTTTTTTTAAAAAAATTTATTTTTCGTAATTTGTAAAGTCGATTAAATTTTTTTTTTACAATTTAAAATTTTAATTAAATACTTAATGAATATTTAATTTTAACTAAGTTTTTTTTTTTTTTTTTTTTTTTTTTAATTTTAAAATATCGCAGATTTGTAACTTTATAATAATATTGAAACTGTCAGTAAACTCGGCTTGACTTGAGTGGATTTTCGAATGTTCTAGAAATCTTCATTGGAAAGTTATTTAACTTTGACAAACTTTGGCTAATTGTAATTAGAAGGATATTTAATTACATGAGAATTTCCAGGAAACCAAAACTAAATTCTTAAAGTAATTAAATTTGTTTGCGAAAATAATGCAATTTAGTTTAATTTGCTTTGACAATTAAAAAAAAAAAAAAAAATACATAAAAATTAAATATAGATAATTTCTTTTTGTATTTCTATTGTTTGAAAATAGATAATGTAGCATATAAATGTCTATATATATTGAATCTATAGATAGATCGTTCACCTTTTTATCGGGACTGGTATGTACAAATAGGAATTATCTTGTGAAACTGATTGGAATTCATTCTTCTTCAATATTCTCCCACGTTTCGTTTCGTTCTTTTTTTTTCTACTGATTTGCGAGTAAGAAATTTTTTTCAATATATTGTATGAAGAAAAATGGAAGTGTCTAGATAATCTGACAATGAATCATCTGTCACACGATTGTCTCTTATCATACACTAAACGTGTCTCTTATCATTTCTGTCAAATTTCTCAAAAAATTCTTATTAATTTTAAAAAATATATGTCAGAACCCCGTAGTTAGAGGGGAAAAAAAAATGATTTTTACTCTTCAAATTTGAATTAGGGGAAAATTTTTTAACTAATTTGAATTAGTGACTCACTTTTTTCTATTGTTATATAGTAAACTAGCTTTCGTATCCACCTTCGGCGGGAGCGAAATCTAGTGGTGTGCGCCCAACAATATTTTCGTGCAAATAATTTTTTGTATAGATAGTTGATTGTTATTAAAAAATTGAACTAATAATTTCACAAATTTGTTAAATTTTAAAATTGTTTAAAATTTTAAATCTAAAAAACACATAATAAAAATATATTAACCTTTTATTTTTCTTTATTAACTTCGTAATTAATGATTTCAAATATTTTAAATCTCTAACAGATTACCATGATTAATTTGATTTCGTTTAAGCCTTATTTTGATAATTCTCGAACCAAATTTTTCAAACAGCATCATTATTCTATTACCTTTTTTCATTTTTTGATTCTTTATTTCTTAAAACGAAACATTATTTAAGAAGTTTTATGTTCTAAGCTATATATCTTTGATCATTTTCTTTTTTTGTTTCAAATTTATTTAAATTAAATATATATATTGAATGCTTATATAAAAGCATTTCAATGATATTGTTTTTTAATTCTAAAGTTAAAATTTGATTAATTGGACTCAAAAATGTAGCTAAAAAAGGTTTAGTAAAATATAACAGAAATTAAATTTAAAAAATTTGATTTTTAGAGTTTTTCTTCACAATTTCAAATTTATCAGTTATTTTCTCAATTTTATGGTAAAAATGCGATTAATTAACCTCAAAAAACTTCTAAAAAAAAGTTTGTAAAAATAAGCGAAAAAATTTTAAAATTTCGATTTTTATAAAAAGTGAAAGTAAACTTCCGTTCAAGTTAATATTTTTTAATGGGGTATGGCTAAGATTTTAAGTTAGTCTAATACCTAAAAGACTGCCAAGTTTCACTTAAATCGGTCAAGCCGTTTATGCGTGATTGTGGCGAACAAAATATTGTGCAGACAGACAGACAGACAGACAGAATTTTTTTTAATGATATTTTTAGAATCCTTATTACTTGAAACGAAGAATTATACATGAATTTTTAAATTCTAAGCAATGTACAGACAAAAGTCTAATTTTATTAATATAGATTACTAAAATTGAACTAAGTAATAAAAATAATTTTTTTTTAACTATCGAATTAGTAAAATTTAACTATAATTCAAAAAGCAAAAATTGAGTCACTAATTCAAATTATACTTAAAATTTTTGTAAATTCATTTTTAACGGAAATTTATTTTTTTCCATGAAATTAGTAGAATTTGTACGTTTCTTTTTTTTTTTTACTTTGCATAGTCACGCTCCATAACGAGCCTTAACCAGAAGGAAATGCTTGGTTCCCTGGAATATCGAGTGTCGTCGTTCTATCAATAAGGGCTTATAAATTATTAAATCTTGATCAATATTATAGTTTAAATTATAATTTTTATTTATGAAATTTTTCAATTTTGAATGAATGAAAAATTGGATCTGAATTTTTAAAACTGATGCGCATTTCAACTGAAATTTATTTCGAGGTTTTTTTTTTTTTGACAATGAATTTTAAAAAAAAATTCCCAAATTTCAGTGGAGAAACAGTTGTTTTTTTTTAATATAATATTTTTAGAATGAGAGTTAAGTAATATTAAACGGAATCTGTGTAGAAATTGTATATATTTTTTTTCGAATATCGGTTTTTGATTGGTGGAGCCATGAGAGTGCCAATGAAATAGTATATATATATATATAATGTTAGAATGAGGTCGATGGGTAGGTTGGAATGCAGGTAGAGGTTGTCCGCCACTTGCCCAAGTTGCCCCGACTAGGCCGCGATCCAGTCCAATCGTGGTATGCAAGTCGACTGGTTCAGTTCAAGTATGTACCACGTTCGTATAGCCTTCCTTTCTTTCTCCCTCAAACCCCGCAAACTTTACATCCCATTCTCACTCAAATCTTTTACATCCCAGGGATGATGGGAACAAAGGGAAAGAAATCGAATGTGTTTTCCAGAGATTTTCTTCCTTTTTTATATGATTACCTCACAGAATAAGAGCAAGAGAAAAGATTTTTTTTTTATTTTGATATTCATGAGTTTTGCGAAAACAATTTTTTTTTTTTCTAAAAACCCATTTTTCGAAAATCTAAACTGTTTTTATATTTTATTAATGTTTTTAACAGTTTTTTTTTTGAAATTTAATATTTAGCCGAAAAAATAAATGCTTGTCAGTATATATAGAAAACCTTTATGACAGGATTTATGTACTGCTTTCAAATGGGTAGCAAGTCTCGAAACTCGAAACCTTAGTTCACTGACACATTCGAATGATTTAATGTGAAATAAAGTGTGTTAAGCGTGACTTCGTTTCATTTTTTTTTCCCCGAGTTTCATTTTAAATCTTTTTCTAAACTATACACGAGACTTCAAAGCGCCGATATTTTATTGCTTCAAAATAGTGCTTTTTAAATTTCCAATAGTTATATGTATCTTCATCCTTTTTTTTTTTGTTTTCAAAATTGACTTTATGCTAAAACTGCTAATGTCGGTAATGCAGAAATCTAAGTAAAAAAAAAAAATTCGAATTATTATTTGTTAATAGTTGTGGCACTTTTCTAAGACCACAAATAATAGAATCCTATAGCGAAATATTAAAAATATCATTTCTACTTTTCAAAAAAAAAAAGAATAAAACTGTATTGTCGATAATTCAGGAATCTGTAAATTGAAAAAAAATAGTTGTGGCATATAGTTTAGATGTTAAATAAATGAATGGTTAAAGAGAAATTTTAATAGAATATGAAAAATGTAAAATAAATTAGCTAAAAATGATGAAACGAAAGTATTTTTACATTGACGATTAAGAATCAAAAAGCGAAACAGTTGAAGTTAAATCGTTCTTCAACGTGTCTCACAGTGGTGAGTTGTAAGTAAGGTTTATCGGCAAAGTTTCTTCCCCCTATTTCCGGGCTTGCTCTCACCCTCGATTCTCTCGAGTAGCTCATACCATATATAGCATTTCGTTTCTCGTGCACTCTCTCTCTTTCCCTCAGAGTAACACCACACACATCACAAGTACAACACCTACTAGAAACTCTTGGCTCTGTCGATAATTTACTAGCAACGTGCAGAAAACCTCATATTCCAAGAATCTTGTATGTATGTATGTGTGTGATGTTGAGAGGGTTATTTGGAAAATTACCAACTCACCTGATCCGAAAACACGAATGCGTTTTACTCTAGGTCATTTCTCTTTAAAACCATTATCTTAACTTGCACACGCATCATTTTTCTCCATAAAATTTAAAAAAAAAAAAAAAAAAAATAGTAGCAAAGCATGCGGAGAGAATTGCAAAAACAAATAATGTGGTAAAATTGTTTGTTTCATCATATTTTAAAGTACCATCAGTTTTTTTTTTCAACTAATAAATTTTTTTTCTTTCTTTTAGATATTTAAAAAACAATTTTTTCCTTAACAATATTGTTAATATTAGATATGTCATTACGGAGCTTCTTCAAAGTGATTTGCACAAAATCATCGTCAGTCCACAGCATCTTAGTCCTGACCACATCAAGGTCTTCCTCTATCAAATTCTTCGAGGTAAGTAACAATTTTTTTTTTTTTTTAGAATTATTTTTAAATAAGTCTTACAAAAAAAGGGGACATTTCATTTATATAAAAAGGGAGAGGGGGATTAAAAGAATTTTTGATAAGATTAGTACTGTTCTAATGAAGAAAATTTTCGATCCCATAATTAAAATTCGCTTGGCTATAGTTAACAAACTTCTTCAATAGAAAAAGAAGAAAAAGTATAGGACCTAACCAACTGTGTAGAAAAATAGCGAATAAACTTGAGAGAGAGAGAGAGAGAGAGAGAGAGAGAGAGTTTTACTACAACTCCAAAAGGGAAGGGAAGTTTGCTAGCGAATAAAGGTCCGCTGTGTTCATAGTACGATTGCGTCTTTTATGGGACGCCCTGTGGAGTCGTTAAAGTCCAGATTCCAAGTAACCTCATGGTAAATCCTTTTTGCTCAACTCCGTGTTTTAAGGCATCTTTAATATTAAGCATAGTAAACGAGTTACTTTATATATATAAATATAACCCCCATTTTTTTCCAATTTAATGATTAATTTTTTTAAAGACTTAAAAGTCTTAAAATTATTAAAATTTTATCTAAATTTTGAGTTTATGTTTGTTTCTTGGTTAGGTGAATTTCAAGTTTTTTTTTTATTAATTAAATATTTATTTCCTTTATGCCGTAAAAAGACGTAATTTTAGACGATTGCCTAATATCTCGCCGTAAATTAACGTTACTTTAGCCAATTGTCTATTTTCACGCCGTAAATTGACGTAACTCTAGTCGATTGTCTATTTGCACACCATAAATTGACGTGACTTTAGCCAAATAACTATTTTTACACCGTAAATTGACGTGACTTTAGCCAAATAATTACATTCGCACTGTAAATTGACGTGACTTTAGCCAAATAACTATTTTTACACCGTAAATTGACGTGACTTTAGCCAAATAATTACATTCACTTTGTAAATTGACGTGACTTTAGCGGATTGTCTATTTTTACGATGTAAATGAACGTGACTCCAGCCGATTGTCTATTTTTACGCCGTAAATTGACGTCACTGTAGCCGGTTGTCTATTTTTACGCCGTAAATTAACATGATTTTAGCCAATTGTCTATTTTTACGCCGTGAACGAACGGCACTTTAGTTAATTGTCTATTTTCACGTCGTAAATTAATGTCACTGTAGCCGATTGTCTATTTTCAAACCGTAAATTGACGTGACTTTAGCCAACTGTTTATTTTTACGCTGTAAATTGACGTCACTGTAGCCGATTGTCTATTTTCACTCCGTAAGTAAACGTGACTCTAGCCGATTGTCTAATTTTACGTTGTAAATTAACGTGACTTTAGCCAAATGTCTATTTTCACGTTGTGAACGAAAGGCACTTTAGTTGATTGTCTATTTTCACGTCGTAAATTAATGTCACTGTAGCCAATCGTCTATTTTCACACCGTAAATTGACGTGACTTTAGCCAACTGTCTATTTTTACGCTGTAAATTGACGTCACTGTAGCCGATTGTCTATTTTTATGCCGTAAATAAACGTGACTCTAGCCGATTGTCTATTTTTACGCCGTAAATTAACATGACTTTAGCCAATTGTCTAATTTTCATGCCGTAAATTGACGTGACTTTAGCCAAATGTCTATTTTTACGCCTTAAACAGACGTGAGTTTAACCGATTATCTATTTTCACGCCGTGAAAAGACGTGACTATAGACGATCTCTCCTAATACAATAAGGTCATTTTTACGTGATTCTTTAATAACGTGAATATAGTCTAGTCTGTAGTACCGTTATTGTTTAATGATGTTGAAACTTTAAAGAAAACTTTCAACTTTCTAAAAACTAATATTTTTAAAGTCCGATTTTATTAAAATAAAAAAAATGTACTTTATTTTTATATATATATATATACATTATTATTAATTGATTATTAATTAACTCATTGTAGATGATTTTAAAATGCATCTAATTATTTGAGAAAAATTTTCTAATTCTTCAAATATTAATAAGAAAAAAGATTTTTTGAGTCTTTAAAAAATTTGAAAAAAAATTACTCATGTTGGGTTGTATATTCATGAGGGGGGGAAAGAAAAAAGAAGAATATATGATGGTCCTGGTAAAACAGGATCATTTCTATTCGTCGCTAGGGATCATCTCTAAAAGCCTAAAAAACCAATTTTTTTTTTCATATATAGTTTGCGCGTGATGGAGCAAAACTTTTACCTGCTTCTTTGTTGTCTTCAAAACACAAAAAGGAGTATCCAACCTAAATGACCTTCAGTCATTGAAATTTCATCTTTTTTTTTCAAAAAAAAAGATTACTACGCGCTTTAAGAATGCATTTCTATATATATATATATATATATATTTTATCTCGACAATGATTAATTTATTCATTTATATATCATTAAACACTCGTGGGTTACACACGGAGAAAAAAGATTTCTTTTATAAAGTAACTTTTACTACTTTCAGAGTAAAACTGGACCAACTCGAAGTTTCTGCGCATCTCTGGCAATTTTTACTCCAAAAATAGTAAAATTTACTCTAGAAATAGTAAAACTTACTACGGAAACAGTAAAATTTACTACAGAAATAATAAATTTTACTATTTTTGGAGTAAAAATTGCCAGAGATGCGCAGAAACTTCGAGTTGGTCCAGTTTTACTCTGAAAGTAGTAAAAATTACTTTTTCTTTTTCTCCGTGCATTTATTTGACAGCTCTCTATCATTTTCTTATATAAATTATTTAGAGAATGAATAATTACATTTTTTTTTTGCATTAGCTATCCCTTTTTGACCTCTAAAAATCATATACCTTGACCTTTTCTAATCTACCTTTTGACCCTTCACTGAAAAAAAAATTATTTGATTCAAATAATCTCTTTTGAAAATTGGAGAAATTGTCGTAGAGAATATAATGCGATGTCATATACACTTTTGTGTAACGTTAATGCATTGTGCTGAGGATTCAATTAAAACAGACTATAGACAATGAGAAAAGGATTAAAGTGATGGACATAGTCAGAGAGTTTAACATAGAATTCAAAGAACATTATATGCACACTTGAATTGACGCTTTTTTTAAAAAAATTGTATTTCACCCTTTAGCTTGAATTGACAATATTTCTCTCTTTTACATCTAATTTAGCATCTAATTAAAATTTGCATTTTTTCAAAAAAAAAAAAAAAAAAACACTTAAATAATCGAAATATTTGGTAATATCACACATTTGATTGTATCAGATAAATATTTGTTTGAACCAAATATTTAACTGAATCGCACAATTTTTTTTTTGTCTAAATTGTTTAAATCTTAAATTTATTCGAAAAATTTAAATAAAAAAGAAAAACATAGACTTGGAATGAAACTTTCTTTTTTCTTGCTATATAGGAAAAAAACAATTTTATAGTGTAGCATTTATTTTACAATTCACAATTTTATATTGACTCAAAATTCTCACACGCGAAACATCACCTTTTATTTCAATATATATATTCGACATAAGATGTATCGAAGTTAGCACGAATCGCATGACTCTTCAGAAAGCTGTTACTGTTTCCGTCGTCACGAAAAATCGACCCAAGAGACATATATATATATATATATATATATATACTATAGACATTCTACACATTGCGGAAAGTTTATCTTATTGTTAAAAAAAAATTATTGTCACGATTTATATATACATGTTTGATTCCGTAAAACGTCTCTTAAAATATTAAAACAAAGGTAAATCTTTTGAAATAGTAGTAAAAATAAAAAGAAAATTATTTTGTATTAATAAAACAGTAGTATAATGATAGGGAAAAAACATTAGCAACCGTTGCTAGGTTAAAAAATGTTCTTAGTAACCGTTGATAGGTAAAAGAAATGTTCCTAGCAACCGTTGCTAGGCAAAAAATTACCTTAGCAACCGTTGCTAGGCAAAAAAAATTGGATTAAAATAATAAGCGTTGCAGCTTATTTTAATGCCTTTTAATTTTCTGTGTATTTTAATAAGTTAATATTATATTTAACTGTAACGCATTGGTATAAAATCTTTTTATAATAGAAAAGCGTTATGCGTAACGCTTATTATAATACCTTATTATAATAGAAAAGCGTTACGCGTAACACGTTACGCGTAACGCTTTGGTATTACCTTATTATAATAGAAACGCTTTGGTATAACCTTATTATAATAGAAACGCTTTGGTAAGACCTTTTTGTAATAAAAAAACGTTACGCGTAACGCTTTGGTGTGACCTTTTTATAATAGAAAAGCGTTATGCGTAACGCTTTGGTATGACCTTTTTATAATAGAAAAGCGTTACGCGTAACGCTTTAGTATGACCTTTCTATAATAGAAAAGCGTTACGCGTAACGCTTTGGTATTACCTTATTATAATAGAAACGCTTTGGTAAGACCTTTTTGTAATAGAAAAACGTTACGCGTAACGCTTTGGTGTGACCCTTTCGTAGTAGAAAAGCGTTACGCGTAACGTTTTGGTATAACCTTTTTATAATAGAAAAGCGTTACGCGTAACGCTTTGGTATGACCTTTTCATAGTAGAAAAGCGTTACGCGTAACGATTTGGTATGACCTTTTCATAGTAGAAAAGCGTTACGCGTAACGCTTTGGTATAACCTTTTTATAATAGAAAAGCGTTACGCGTAACGTTTTGGTATAACCTTTTTATAATAGAAAAGCGTTACGCGTAACGCTTTGGTATGACCTTTTCATAGTAGAAAAGCGTTACGCGTAACGATTTGGTATGACCTTTTCATAGTAGAAAAGCGTTACGCGTAACGCTTTGGTATAACCTTTTTATAATAGAAAAGCGTTACGCGTAACGCTTTGGTATGACTTTTTCATAGTAGAAAAGCGTTACGCGTAACGCTTTGGTATGACCTTTTCATAGTAGATAAGCGTTACGCGTAACGCTTTGGTATAACCTTTTTATAATAGAAAAGCGTTACGCGTAACGTTTTGGTATAACCTTTTTATAATAGAAAAGCGTT